CTCGAGACGTTAACCGCTTTTTCAATGTGGTAAGTCTCAAAAGCTGAGATGAAAAATGCACGCCTTCATAAAGTTCCTCTTCAGGATAGACTCCGACATATGATGATTGACTTGACCTTACTTGACGCTAGTGCTACCCGAGATGATTTTACAGTTGGTATGTCAGGTCGATTGTCCAGCACTAAAATAGGTAAGCTGCATTTCAGACTCTTCTCAAAAGAGCTCGGAATTTTTATAGGCGATGGTTCACCATTTCACGTGCCGTTTCCATTTCGAGTCCCACAAAATCACAATCGTCGAATGGCTGAGATTGTCATTTCCGAATACTCTGTCAACAGCATGCTCTACTTTGCTCATAGGTTTCTTAGTTTTTCTTTTCTCTTACTTTCACGAAATAATAGTTGTTCAGATAACTTTCAGATAAGTTTAATTGTTAATTATCAGAATCTCGATCATTCTTAAAGATTTACTGATTTTGGGAGGGTACCAATTAGCGGGATGCTTAGGCGATACTGTACTGTGAAAAAAGTGCATCTTTGCAATTTTGTAAATAATATACTGTCCATATCTTCAACATTCATTGAAAATTCCGCTTTATAAAAATGTGATGCACTAAGTTTTTCAGGACGAATTCTCTTCTTTTCCATGTGGATTCGCATTCTCCTGGAGTCGGATCCTTATTAAAAACGACGTGCACCGTCGACGAAGTTTGCTTGTCGGATCAAGTAGAAGAGGTAAGCAATACATCATGTGTGCGAAAACCTGTCATAATCTTCTCGCAGGTTGGAAGGGAATTCCCAGGACAGAGTTTGGAGCTCATCATTAGAACAACTAGCCCACCAACAATGGCTTTCAGAAAAGGTAGCACTTTCATATCGTTAATGTTTGGTATAGACTAGCTGCAAAGCAAAGACGAACTTGATTTCGAGAGGCTTATTACTAAATTTACACCTATAGTCCAAAATAAAGAAAAACCTGACGACTCCGAAATTTTTGGCGGTAAAAGTGGGAATTTTGGAAGTGAACTCATATATTCGATATTAGGATCATGATTGGAAGGAACTCAAAAGAAGAAGTGAGAAGCAACTCCTTAGTTTTGTTTTAATATACAGAATTTTTCTTCGCATTGTACTTTCAGCACTCTGAACAACAAACGCAAATTTTTGTATGATTCAAGGAAACTGTGCAAGTGCAATTGTATCACAAAATGCTTGATTCTTAAATTCTGCTGCGTTTTAGGTCCATTTCTTTTCTTTTCCTCTGCTGAAGCCCTCAATTTTTTTAGATGTTGTCAAACTATATATGGAAGGACGATGTCTTTTCTTCCTGGAAGGCACTCGACAGAAAGT